GTTCAGTTATACAAAGCACTTATGTTTCACACTGACGTGCAAAAAGATGTCCATACATACACACTAAAACGCACATGCCCGCACGCACGGCACGTCCAAACAGGTTTTTTTCCAACTCCCATAAGAATTTTGTAACCACAACCTGAAACTTTTTGGGGAGTATAGAAAGGTCATGTCGTTCATAAACTGTGTCAATAGGCAGGGAGCATTTTACGACGACATGTGCCGAGTTCACTTCGTACTAGGGAGTAAATAATTAGGGCAGGAGAGTTTTCGGGGCTCATATGCTGGAGAAACTTCCATGTCAGCTAATTTTTGCTTACAGTGTACACGTACGAAAAGCCCAGGTGTATTTATTTATCAGCTGGGCACACCATAAATATTTCAATGCCTTAGCATTGCACGTAGTTTAGTTGTCATGATTTTGGAGTGTTAATGTCTATTTCTAGTAATTATGAACACCGTCGTCATGCAGTCTTACTTCGAAGCTGCAGTAGTTCAACACGACAGCCGCTAAAAGACCATCTGCCTGAAACTCGCTGTCATCCGCATCAGCCGAGTTGACCGCGAGCAAAAAATCATGGCTGATGAAACAATAAAAGTTCAGACGCTTTGTAAAGTACAATGTGGGTTTGGCGAAAGCCTGTGCCCATGAAATTGGGGTCGGTCAGTGTGCAATTTGATGAGTGTGGCTCTCTTTTTGCTCGAGTAAGAAGATTGTGGCCGGCCTACAGTGAGAACGCGTGCGTGTGAGAACCATCCGACTGGCTCTTTTGCTGCAACACGATGCTGCACCATCGCGTGATTGCTAAACAAGGTGAAGGGAAGAAGTCATAAATGGCACCTGGCACCGTTCCAAAGCATGGATGGACGGACTGACCCGGCAAGAGCAGGGAGGCACATTGTTCGGCTCAAGACGGTGGCAATACACGCGGCAGAAGGAAGAGCGGCAGCCGCACTTCTGCATCGCGTGACGTAATACGCCGCGTCACTACTGCTTTCAGGCTTCCCAGGCAGCCGAGGGACACTTTTTGCATCATTGTGTGACCGAGGAATGGCCTCAATATAAACAAGATGAGTAGGACACACTTTGAGCAAGACTTGGTCATGGAAGCTGCCTTGGCTGCCGTTGAAATCGATGAGGACACAATGTGTCTCATTGGAGTTCAGAATATTTTTGTGGTGTGCACCCCGCACGAGAAAAATGCGAATGCATATGCCAGATTGCAACAAATACGGCTCTTCGAAGGCACGTTTGGAGTGGCAGCGTACCTGGCCCAACCAGAGAATACGTGCAAAGGAATCATAAAAGCAGTAGACGTCGAAATCAGCGAGGCTCAACTCAGAGCGAGGATTGTCAATAATCGCAACCCGAGCGCCTTGGAGGCCATGTGGATCAAGCACACCACGGTGGTGGTGGTGCTTTTCAAGGGCATGAAGGTGCTCAACTACGTTGCATGTTGCACAAGCATGTTCCAGTGCACGCTTTACCAACGCCACATGGAAGTCTGCAGCAAATGTGGAGAACTAGGACACCGGGCTGAAGTGGGTCCTAACCCTGTAAGCAATTAGTGCCGCACCTGCAGCAACCAATCGCCAATGAAAGACCAGCGGCGCGACCTGAAGTGCACGTTGTGCAGTGGTCCCCACCCAACTGCATCCAAGAAGTGCACGGGAAAATGTCAGATTCCTTATATTGTAAGAAGACGATGGAGGCAGCGATGGCGACGCATGAAAGAATCAGCTGACTCAACCACCGCCAGCACGGCAGGTGGTAGGAGCCATTCGCGTACGCCGTCTCTGTGGGAGCACACCACCAAGAGAAGCCGCTTTTCGCACGACTGGTGCACGAAAACGCGAAACTATTAGGAACCGCTCTGAATCCAGACGGCGTCCCACCGCGGTAGTTTAGTGGCTAATGTACTCGGCTGCTGACCCGCCGGTCGCGAGATCGAATCCCGGCTGCGGCGGCTACATTTCCGATGTAGGCGGAAATTCTGGAGGCCCGTGTGCTCAGATTTGAGTGCACGTTAAAGAACCCCAGGTGGTAGAATTTTTCGGAGCCCTCCACTACAGCGTCTCTCATAATCATATGGTGGTTTTGAGACGTTAAACCCTACATATTAATTAATCAGTCCAGATGGCGCTCTGTGTCCAGCATGAGGATCCAGGAGCAGCCTACCTGGGTGGATCGTGTCAAAGCGACGACGAATAAGGAGGAGCAGAACCAAAGGAGGTAACGTGATCGGCTTCCCCGGAGCATGGTAGTTGGGCGCACGTGGAAGCATTACTTAAGGAAGTGATGAAACTTGAAGAGGAGGCCCGCCGCCTGAAAGCCACCAATGCTAGTCCCAAGCATGTTGAATTAGAGGCGACCAGCCAGAAGCCAGAGGTAGTCGAACAGGTGATGGTCTCACTAAGGCAAAACGGAAGGTGCCCCTACCTGAAGAGGTGAGCGTGTCAAAGCATCTAAAGGTGAGGCTCAGCAAACAAAGTTGTTGGCGGAACTACTCCGCATAAGTAGAGAAGACCAAGAAACTGTAAACCTTTCGATAGAAAGAGTAACGGTACTAGAAGAAAAGACGCCGATTAGGGCCAAACATGATGTCTGAGCTCAGAGCAAGGCACCTAATCACATCGACGATGCTCCGGCTGAGGAGCAAGGTATGGTAATATAGCATCTTGGTGGGCCATCACAAAGAGATGGTAATTTGGCAGTGAAACTGCGCTGGTTTTCAAAGGCATAAAGATCAAATACGGCAGTTTTTCACAAGTCAGGTAGAAAATCCGCAGGTTTTGTTATTACAGAAGACAATATGTAAAGTCTCTACTTTTTCTGGCTTCAAACCTGTGTCAGTAAAGAACGATCGAGGAAGAGAGCTAGCCACAATTATCAGCAAAAAGTTAGCCTTTATTGAACACCAAATACAATCTGGACGAGGAAGATGGAGGGCCTTTTTGTGGAGGTTCTACCACACGGTTGGCTCAAGCAGAACATTTTTGTGCCTAATCTCTATAGCCCGCCATCAGACAAGCGACAGACTTGAGACTGCCTGGTTAAGAAGGCCACGTCGATAGCCAAAAACTATCCTCTGATAGCTTCCGAGGATTTAATCATCCTTTTAATGAATGGGGTTATCTGAGACAGACGATAAAAGGAGAGATTCTGGTGAGAATACTCTATGATCTCGAGTTTGCCGTAATCACTTATCCAGGGTTCCTCACCAGGCTGGGCACGTAGGTTGCTCGAGACACAACGCCTGACTTAGCATGTGTAATTAATGTTGGTAGCAACTCGTGGCACATCAAGTAGGACAATTTTGGGCAATGACCACCTAATAGCAGCGGTAACTTTACAGGTTGACACGAGACCGGCAAGAGTATTTAGAGTCACAGACTGGGATAAGTTTAGAACACTCGGGGAGAAGCGCGTGATCACATATTTCTAGTTCAGCGAGGCTGTTGCCTCACCCAAGGAAGATGTAGACAGAGCCACTACGGTTCTCCAAACGGAAGCGGACGTCCCGCGTATAGACCCGCATCTAGCACACCTGTCGCAAGCAAAATCCTCTATTCTCACGATATATACAACACAACGGTTGAACCACAGGCTGAGAAAAAAGGTTGTGGAACTCAATCGAAAGGTAAAAAGGTACTGCGCGGAGCCTAATAGACTACAATGGAATGAGGTATGCGTGGCAGTAGACGGGTTCATGCGCACAGGAGGGAAGTTAAACTTCTGAAAGCATCTCCGGGGTGACACGCAGACTAAGGGGAATCAAAGACAATTGATTAGTAAGATCATTGAGAAGCACAAACAGGAGGGTGGTTCTAAAGAGTCCTTTTTGAATGCAGTTGTGGATAGCTACCTCCCTATAGGGCCGACACGAGACGAAAATTATGCGCAGATTGAGTGCGTGACGGTGCAGGAGCTGGATGCGCCCTTCACAGAATCAGACATTAGGGATGTGCTGCACAATCTAAGCAGCAGGTCGGCTCCGGGGCCGCATCAGGTTTCTAACAGACTGTTGCGTAATTAGGATGATAAATCAGTGGAACGTTTAACAACGCAGGTCAGCAGGGTATGGAAGGAAGGACACATGTCTGACGCATGGAAAGCGGCCATGCTTGTAATGATTCTCGAGCCTGGAAAACCTCCTTAGTGTGGACTACTTGAGACCAACATCACTAACCTCATGCATAAGCAAGGTAACAGAGTACGAAATCTTGAAGAGGGTTCTTGGGTATGTAGACCGTAAGGACCTCTGTCCGTCTAAAATGGTGGGTTCTTGACACGGCCTATCAATCAAGGATGTTATGTTAATTCTGGGGAAGCAAGGATTTGTTAGTGGCACTCGGGACCTGCGAGGTGTTGTAGCCCTAAATCTCACTAAGGCGTTTGACACAGTGTGCCATCAATACATACTGCAGGCCATGGCGGGAATAGGCCTTGTAGTCAAATCGCCTGCCTTCGCTAGGTCGTTCCTTATGAACAGAACTGCCTGTATTCAGGTGGAGCATATTCCGCCAAACGAATACAGATTTGGGCATCGGGGTACCCCTCCAGAAAGCAGTTATTTCCCCACTGCTCTTCAATATATTGATGTAGGGTCTTTCTGACAGACTGGGTGGCCTCCGGGGCATAAGTCACGCACTTTACACAGATGGCATTACAATATTGTGCCCATGGGATTCCCTAGCAGAAATGTAGCAAGCTTTACAGGCGGCCTTGGACGAGACGGAAACCCATCTCGCAGAAACGGGTTTCAATCAGTCTCCCAGTAAATCGGAGCTGCTATTTTACAGACCGGCTAGACAAGAAGTTAGAGGTCTAACGCCCCTCAACCATGCAGCAACCTGTGACTATATATCTGAGCAGGCAAAAAATTTCTATAGTTGACTAATTTAAGATACTAGGCCTGCTCATAGACGTGACGGGCTGTAATGCCAGAACAATTAGCCACGTTACAGCCAAAACGGAGAATGCTGAGGTTACTCACAAGAGTGTCCAACCAAAACAAGGCTTAAGGTAAGGACCACCTCCTGAGGACATGCCATGTGGTTCTCATGAGTCATATTATGAATATGGCGTCTGTACTAGTATGGACCAAAACAGAAAAAAAAGAAGTTAAATACGCTCATGTATTAGACCATCAAGAAAGAGCTTGGCTGGCTGATCTGTACGAGCGCTGACAAGCTAGATAAACCTGGTAAGCACAATAAAATCAAAAAGATCATAAAGCGCAGGTCACTGCCCAGGTGGTTAGGCTATCCTTGACCTCGGCAGGCAGCTGTCACAGGTCCCGTTAATTAGGGAGGCGATCGCCGGGTTAATTCTAAGGGCCAAAATATCGGCCCCCTGAACTGCACCACGAAAGCATGGACAATTTAGGAGTGCTCCTATTTGGCGCGCCAGCAGACGCTGGCTGTGGCCCAAAGAATAAGTCAGAGCCGAAAGTTGATAAAAAAAACAAAATTATAATCTCAACTCTGGCAGATCAAATCGATACAAAAATATGCACACTTGACAATAGTTGAACACCACATGTCACCAATCTAACAACGTACTACACAGTACAATCAGCCACACTCGAAACAACGGACACAAACAACACTACGCACTACAATGCAATCGCATGCATCGAACAATCAAGGCACCTAAAGACTAAACAGTTCGAAAACTTATTCAGTCCAAAGTCCTTGGAACAAAAGTCTGAATGATACTCTTCCGAGAATCACTCACTCAAAGTCCAGCGCTGCTGTTTTACCGCGGCCACCGAAGTTTCTCTTCGAGAAACTTCGACGAAACCTCACGAAACTTCGACGAAACCTCACGTCTTCAATTGGCGGCTTTCCAAGCACCAAACCATTCGCCGGTAACACGTCGGCTTCCACGCACAGCTGTTGCCGCGCGTCTTCACTCGCTGGCGGTCGACACACACTCCTGCCTGTAGCACGAGTCTTCACCCCTCAGGTCGAAACCCTCTTCATTACCTGCTTTGTCCCGAGGACAGAGCTTTCGCCAACGACTCCGCTGCTCGCTTAAATACCTTCCGCGCTAGATTCTAGAAAATTCTCATCGTTTCGTCAGCGGGAAACACAGTCAAGGCTAGGGAAAGAGCGAGACTATTCGAGGGCCGTCCGCGACACGTGACGCCCATCTGCATCACCACGCCCTTTTCCCTCAAGAACCTTCCACGGATTGCTCGTCCACCGATGTCAGGAGGTTAGTCGGCGAACTACGGTTCCGGGGGAGGAGAAACGGCGCGCCCAAGGAGTCTTTGGAAGTTAGTTTTCTTCTTTATCGTTGACCTCGAGGTGCCTCTCTGCGCTTGGTATTGTTACTGTCGCTCTAATTCGGCGGCGCGCGCTTTTTCAGAGCGCTATTTTGTGACACTGCCCCCCATTTTAAGAATACTATCACATAATATTCAAAACCACACATACGAGTGCGAACAGTCACCACACACTTAAAGACTGTAACAAAGTCCGTCGCTCATGGTGCGTCACACACACAATACAATTGTGCATTGCGATTCAATCTCACAACACATAAAGTGTAACCACAGGTACATGAGTACGACATTCCATCACATATTCTGAACAATACAAATTTACGAAGTTCTGTCTTTACAGCATTGTACAATCCTATACACCAGATCACCGCAACAAACACTTTGACTCGCTCGACATACACTTGCGACGCAGGATAACAACAACACAACACGTAGAGGCTCATCACTACCAAACACATTCCGATTTTACCTCAGCACATATCCTGTGTACTTCGAGCAGCGCTTGCGCCCTCTCTTGCGGTGCTCGCTCGATCTCTTCTTGTTTTTCCTCGTTCTGTTCATGCGAGCCCTTCCAATCGATGGTAACTGAGCCGGCTTCTCAACCATCGTTGTCACTTCCGACACTGTTGACGGGTCATAACGTTCAACCGATCCTGTCTGGCAATTCACCCACTTGTTTCTGTCACGAGATTGGGTCTGGATGGCCGACTCCGTTACCTCTATACTATCGGTCGGTTGAGGTCATGCCGAAGTAAATCCAGCTGCCCAGGACGTTAACTCATTCAACACGATCATCTCCTTAATCACTGTCTCTTGCACCCAGGCCTTACCTTGGGCTCGAGTGAAATCCTTCACGGGACTTTTATCCACTGTATCTCGCGGTCCCTGTGTCGGCGACGGTTCCATATTCGAGTATTCTCCTAAACGTTCTGGATAACTCGGCCCTCACGCCCCGTCGATGTTTCCGACGATGAGGTCGTACAGGGGGGTTGTCATACATAGGGCAGTAACTTTCCCACTAAAGTAAGGGGTTTCAACCTTGATCTCTGCTTCGGGAAGCATCCGAACCGTACTCTCAATTAGGCAAACCAGTTTTGTTTTGCCTGTGAACTCACTTTCCCGCACCAAATTTCTCCGCACGGTAACAGTGGAGCTACCGGTATCTCTTAACACCGTGATCTTCTTGCCCGAAGCCTTTCCAGGCAGCGTTGGCATTCCCTTCGTAACACCGGTTGGCGGTTTTGTCATTACAGCACCCACAATAGGAAGTTTCTCCCCACTTTTGAGCTCTAAAAACACGTTGGGGACGACATCATCATCGGCTTTCGGTGCCGCCTACACACAGGCTACTTGGTGAGTTTGACTCGCTCCATTACGACTTGCGTCTGCCTTGTGCCCGGTTTGATTATACTTGAAACATTTTACAACAGTAGGGCTCATAAAGTTAGTTCGACAGCTGTTAGCGCGATGACCCACTCGGTTAGACAGAAAACATCGCGGTACACTCTTCGGTGCACGCTTCTTTTGCTCGGGTGCCGAATTCTTCGACTCTTCGGGACACTCCTTCTTGACTTTGGCCAAATTTCTGCCACCTTGCGCTTCCAAGAATTGGTCGGCAAATTCAAGCTTGTCTTCAAGTGACTCAACCTTCCTCTCTTTCAAGTACAACGACAGGATTGGGTGGCAACTAGTAAAATATTGCTCTCTAATTAGGAGCTCTCTAAGCTCACCATACTCCTCTGCTGTCTCTGAAAGTTCGATCCATCTGTCAAAATAATGGCTAAGACAGGCGTCATACTGCGTAGCCGTCTCACCATCCACTGGCTTTCCTGTCTCAAATCGGTCCCGGAAACTATCCACAGTAAATCTAAATAGCTTCAGTAAAGCAGCTTTCACCTTTGCATAGTTGGCTGCGTCGGTCGACGTCAGCCTACCGTACCCACTGAGCGCTTCACCACTCAAGCAGGTACTCAAAGCAGTTGCCCATTGATGTTGCGGCCAATTCTGGCTCCTTGCAATCGTCTCAAATCTGTGAAGGTACGCGTGAAGCCCATCCTTCCTTTCATCAAGTGCTACGAGCAGCTTGCTTGGGTTCAAGCGGAAGCCATGGTCTTCCAGTTCGATGCTTTCAACTCTAGCTTGGACAGAAGTTTCCCTTCGCTATTGCAAACGGAGCCACTCGAGTTCCATTTCGTACTGCCGCTGCCATTCCCTTTCCTCATTTTCTTCTTTCAGCTGTCGCTCCTTTGCCTCTCTTTCTTTTTTCGCCCTTTCAGCGATCAGCCTTTCTCTCTCCCACTCAGCTGCTTTTTCCGCTTTGGCTCTTTCGACCGTAAACCTTTCTTTTTCCAGCTCAGCTGCCTTTTTTTCTTTGGCCCTCTCTTTTTCTTCTTTTTCCTTCTGGGTAACCCACTTCCGTAGTTCGGCGCCAGAAAGACCCATCCTCTCACCAAGACCTATAACTTTTCGAGATCCAAGGTGTCTCGCAAATAAAACCTTGCCGCGTGCGAAATGTATCTGCCTAAATCAGTCTATCGGAACACTCTCCTGCACTCGGTAACTGGCACACTGAGCAGCACACAAAATTGTTCCGATAGCACTATCAACAACTCAAGGCTCTTTCTCATTACTTTGGACACACTGTGCACCAAAAGGTCCTTGTCGCGTACGCCAAATTGTCACAGGTCCCGTTAATTAGGGAGGCGATCGCTGCGCTAGTTCCAAGGGCCGAAATATTGGCCCTCCGAACTGCACCATGAAAGCATGGACAATTTAGAAGTGGTCCTATTTGGCGCGCCAGCGAACGCCGGCTGTGGCCCAAAGAACAAGTGAGAGCCTAGAGTTGATAAACAAAACAAAATTATATTCTCAATTCTGACAGATCAACTCGATACAGAAATATGCACACTTGACAATAGTTGAACAAGATATGTCACCAATCTAACAACGTACTAAACCGTACAATCAGCCACACTCTAAACAACGGACACAAACAACAATACGCCCTACAATGCAATCGCATGCATCGAACAATCAAGGCACCTAAAGACTAAACAGTTCGAAAACTTATTCAGTCCAAAGTCCTTGGAACAAAAGTCTCAATGATACTCTTCCGGGAATCACTCACTCAAAGTCCAGCGCTGTTGTTGTTCTGCTGCCCCCGAAGTTTCTCTTCCAGGAAAGCTCGCGTCTTCAATTGGCGGCTCTCCAAGCACCAAACTTCTTTGCCGGTAACACGTCGGCTTCTCACGCGCAGCTGTTGCCGCGCGTCTTCGCTCGCTGGCGGTAGACACACACTCCTGCCGGTAGCACGATTCTTCACCCCTCAAATGGAAATCCTCTTCATCACCTTCTTTGTCCTGAGGACAGAGCCTTCGCCGACGACTCCGCTGCTCGCTTAAATACCTTCCGCGCTAGATTCCTGAGAATGCTCATCGTTTCGTCCGTAGAAACACAGTCAAGACTGGTGAAAGAGTGAGACATTTTGAGGGCCGTACGCGACACGAGACGCCACTCTGCATCACCACGCCCCTTTTCCTCGAGAACCTTCCAATGCTTGCTCGGCCGCCGATGTGAGGTGGTTAGTCGGCAAACTACGCTTCCGAGGGGAGGAAAACGGTGCGCCCAGGGAGACTTAGGATGTTTGTTTTCTTCTTTATCGTTGACCATGAGGCACCTCTTTGCACTTGGTATTGTTACTGTCGCTATGATTCGGCGGGGCGTACTTTTTCGGAGCACTCGTTTGTGACAGCAGGATAATCCTTGACAAGGTCAGCATGTGGCCTAGGCTAGCAT